CTGGTTTGGGGTCACCACCCAGGGGACAAGGAGCTGCTGGTTTAGGGTCAGTACTGAGCCAAGGATCTGCTGGTTTGGGGTCAGTACTGAGCCAAGGAACTGCTGATTTGGGATAATTTCCTTAGCTAAGGAACTGGATATTTGGATTTCACAGGCAAGGCACTGTGAAATCACTGGGATAGAGTGGGAATAATGCGGCTCTGGGAACAAGGAGCTGCTGGTTTGGGGTCAGTACCTTGAGCCAAGGAGCTGCTGGTTTGGGGTCACCACCCTGGGGACAAGGAGCTGCTGTGGTTGTTACCCACGGAGAATTGTGGCTTTGAGGTTTTGTTCCTTCAAATGCCTCCAAAAAGGGGTGGGCAAGCATGGCTGCTCAGAAAGGACTGAAATCTTCAAGGTTTCCCCCCTCAGGCAAATCCTGGAGAGGGAATCCCAAGGGATTGGTGCTGCTGCATGGATTCAGCACCTCGGCCTGTTCCTTGTGCTTCCCAGTGACTGGGAAAAAATAGGGTCGAGTTTGGATCTGGAATGTTTGGGATTTAGGGCCTGGCAAGCTCATGCATATCCTGAAATATGGGAATTTTGGAAACCAGGCACTGGTTTTGCACAGGGAATAGTTTCAAGGACAATTCAAGGTCATCTCCTCAGGGAAGCTGGAATGGCCAGGAGGGCTTTCCTGCCTGGAATTACAATTTCAGGGATTCCGGACCAGCACAGCAGCGGATGCGAGGGTTGGGAAATAAACTCGGGGAAGAGCAGCAGCTGGCACTGCCTCTCCAGAAACCCCAAACCAACCAACAAGACAAAAACCTCTCCCTAAACCGGCACCGAACCCAGAGATCCCGGCTCTGCCTCCAGCCCAGGACGGAGCCGCACAACGCTAAGGAACACCGAGGAGGAGGTTTGGGATCTTAGAGGATTCTGCCAACTCCAGGTTCAGGAATCCCATCTTCTAATTCCCATCAATTTCATTTTCCTCTCTGTTTTCCACCTCTTCCCAATGACCTCAACATTCCCAAGGATCGTCAGACCCCACGGCCGTCGGCGCACAGAGAGGGAACCCCTCGAGAACCACCTCTGGTCTACCCCAACCACCACAACCATGTTTTCCCCTCCCGTTTTTTTTTTTCCAAGCGGGCCATGGAATAATGGAATTAAATCCAAGGAAAGGGCGGGAGCTGGCAGGATCTCTAAGGGCAGCGCCACCCCGTAGAGTCCCCATGCGATCTGATGCTTACTGGTGATATACTTAACCACAAAGTCAGTTCCTGCTGAGAAATTGTGGCTCCAGGTGATGTTTGCCCAGTTACTGTTTGCCATGGCTCTGATGTCCCATATGGACGATCCATTGGCGGCTGGGGGACAGGTTAGAACACGAGTTAGTCTTTAGTTGGGGTTAGGCCCGGCTCAGAGCTCAAAGCTCGTGAAAAAACTCTCAAAAACTTGTCAGAAACCTGACAAAACTTGAAAAAAACCTTACAAAACCTCAAAAAACCGTAACAAAATGGTACAAAAACTTCATAAAACCTAAAAAAAAATTAAAAATCTGTACAAAAACCTTATAAAAACTCATAAAAACACATGAGCATCAAAAAAACTTCATAAAACCCTTAAAAAGCCCTACAAACTCCTTACGAAAAAATGTAACAAAAACCTCACAAATCCTTACAAGATCCATAAAAAAGACCTTACAAAACCATTATAAAACCTCAGGAAAACACACAAGAATCATAAAAACCTTAAAAAAAACCTTACAAAATCCTCATGAAAACCTTACAGAAACCTCAGAAAAACCTTAAAAAACTTTTAAAAGCTTTACAAAACCCTCGCAAAATCCTTTACAAAAACCTCACAAAATCCTTTACAAAAACCTCACAACATCCTTACAAAAACTTCACAAAATCCTTACAAAAACCTCATGTAAACCCTTACGAAATCATTACGTAAACCTGGAGCGAACACTTTGGTCTCAGCCTAAGCATGAACGAACCTCAACCTAAGTTTGGATTGATTTTTTTCCCAAGATTCCCAACATTTTTAGGGAATTTTGGTGGTGTTTAAACCCAACGGCACTCAACTCATCCTGGGATTCTTTTGGGGCGCATCCCTGAGGATCTGGGCCAGCGGGGAAACCTCGTCCCGGAATTCCTGCATGGATGAGCACGGATCCAGTGCTGGGAGTGGCAGGGAATTGTTAATTCGCTGTGGCCCTGGTGGGACAACGAGGTCACCCGTGTGTGAGGTTGAAGTTTAGGGATCTCGACGTTCCCTGGGATGAGTCCCGTTCCTACAGAAGTCAGAGCCAATCCCACAATTTAGTGGGATTTTAAGGAACAGCATCTTGGGGTTTTATTGTCATTTCTCCTCGAGGCGTTTCAATGTTTTAATGCCACAAATCCGGGATCGACCACCACAATCCCTTGGAAAAAGCCAGTTTTGGGGTTTTTAGGGCACTACAAGGGCCTGGTGCTGTGGGGTGAGCTGGAATCTCTTAAATCCCAGCCTGGGTTGGATGGGGACACTGGAGGTTCCTCGTTGCCTCCTGTTCTCTTTCCCTGTCCTGTGCCTAATGCTTAATTCCCTATTTCTAATTAGCAGCATTTTCCATGCATTAATGACTGGTGTGGGGGTGATCTCACGTTGTCACCAGTCCTGGGCTGTCAGGTGGGGGCAGATCTCCCCTGCAGAACGTTTTGGTGGCTTTAAAGCATTTTAAACTGATTTTATGCCAAAATCTAGAGAAACTGCTTTGAATTCAGTCATGGCATCATCCCATACTCGTTTGAGCTGGAAGGGACCCTAAAACTCTTCTCATTCCACCCCCAATCCCCGTTTTCCTCTATCCCAGGTTGCTCCAAACCCCATCCAAGTTTTTAAGCCAGATTTCATTCCCTTTTTTTGCTTGATTGGTTTTTTTGAACAACCCTAATTATTTGTAAACCACCAACTCCGTTACCCTGGTATTTCAAATCCCGATAAATCCTTCCGGATTTATCCCTCAAACACATCCAGGAGGGAAGATTTCCCCGCCAGAGCCGAGTTTGATTGTCCTGATGGTACGAGAAGACCTGGGAAATGCCTGGCACAGGGATGGTGCTGGAACTCCCACCCTTCCCCAGAGTTCCCGAGGGCTCCGGCAGCGCAGGGAGCAGCGGGATAAACCCAAGAACTTGGATAAATCCTGACAGGTCTCCTTGCTAACAGCTGAGGTGCTAAATCTGAGCTGACATCTCCTGCAGGAGCACCAGAACCCATTTGTAACAGCTCTGAACACCAGATCACACTCTGGGGGGAATCTGTGGGGCTGTCCACCTCTTCCCAAACTGCATCCGGCATCACCACACCCCCAGCAGGGCTGGGGTGTTCCCTGGTGGAGCGGAACCCTCCAAATTCCCACTGGTACACCCAGATTCCACAGAACTCTGCAAATTCCCACTGGTGCACCCAGATTCCACAGAACTCTCCAAATTCCCACTGGTACACCCAGATTCCACAGAACTCTCCAAATTCCCACTTGTGCACCCAGATTCTACAGAACTCTCTAAATTCTCACTGGTACACCCAGATTTCACAGAGCCCTCCAAATTCTCACTGGTGCACTCAGATTCCACAGAACTCTCCAAATTCCCACTTGTGCACTCAGATTCTACAAAACTCTGCAAATTCTCACTGGTGCACTCAGATTCCACAGAACTCTCCAAATTCTCACTGGTGCACTCAGATTCCACAGAACTCTCCAAATTCCCACTTGTGCACCCAGATTCTACAGAACTCTCCAAATTCCCACTTGTGCACCCAGATTCCACAGAACTCCGCAAATTCTCACTGGTACACCCAGATTTCACAAAACCCTCCAAATTTCAACTTGTGCACCCAGATTCCACAGAACCCTCCAAATTCTCACTTGTGCACGAAGATTCCACAGAACCCTCCAAGTCCCCACTTGTACACCCAGATTCCCGTTCCGGAGCCATGCGATGTCTCCAATTCTCCCGGTATCCCAAGGAATCGCGGTGGGGAGGGGTCCCAGCAGGGTTAGAGAGGGGTTAGAGGAAAAGGAAAGCTCAGTACCCAACTCGTGCCTGGTGGTGGCTGCCGGAGCCCTCTCGGCAGCGGCGCTGGTGCTGGCGGCGGTGCTGGCGGCGGTGCTGGTGGTGGTTGTGGTGGTTGTGGTGGTGGTTGTGGTGTCGGTGGTGGTTGGGGTGGTTGTAGGACTGATTGTAGCACTGGTTGTAGGGCTGGTTGTAGGGCTGATTGTAGGACTGGTTTCAGGACTGGTTTCAGGACTGGTTTCCTCCACTGTGGTTGGAGGCGGCCCAGTTGCCTCTGGGAGAGGGAAACACCGGCTTTGTACCTGAGGTGGCATCTCCAGAGCGCTGCCCTCCCCGGAGTGGTGCAGCACGGAGCAAATCCCGCCGGGAATACACGGCTGGACCCCTTTTCCTGCCCTGGCCCCATGCAGGGATGGTTTGGGCTGGTCCCAGGGGCTGGGAGAGGTGCAGGCACAAATCCCGCCGGGAATACACGGCTGGACCCCTTTTCCTGCCCTGGCCCCATGCAGGGATGGTTTGGGCTGATCCCAGGGGCTGGGAGAGGTGCAGGCACAAATCCCACAGGGAATACACGGCTGGACCCCTTTTCCTGCCCTGGCCACATGCAAGGATGGCTTGGGCTGGTCCCAGGGGCTGGGAGAGGTGCCGGAGCAAATCCCACTGGGAATGCCAGGCTGAGCCACTTTTGCTGCCCCTGACCCTGTGCAGGGATGGCCTGAACCTGTCCCAGGATTTGGGAGAGGTGCAGGAGCCAATCCTATTGGGAACTCATGGCTGAACCCCTTTTCCTGTCCCTGGCCCCATGCAGGGGTGGCCTGAACCTGTCCCAGGATCTGGAGCAAATCCCACTGGGAATTCCAGGCTGAGCCACTTTTCCTGTCCCTGGCCCCATGCAGGGGTGGCCTGAACCTGTCCCAGGATCTGGAGCAAATCCCACTGGGAATTCCAGGCTGAGCCCCTTTTCCTACCCCTGTCCCCCTGAGCCCATCCCAGGGGTTGGGAGAGGTGCTGGGGCTGCTCCTGTTCCCCCAGTTCGATCCTGATCCCAATCCTGATCCCAATCCTGATCCCAATCCTGATCCTAATCCTGATCCCAATCCCAGGCCTGAACGAGCTGTTGTCCTCTGCCTTTCCTGTGCCCGACATCTCCTGGGATAAACCAGCACGGCCAGCCTGGGAAAATGCAGCTGAGGGGACGCTCAGGTTTGTCCTCACCCCATCGTCCCACGGCATTCCAGGAAATGGGATCTAGCTCATGGAAAACGCACAAATCCAATTATGAATGGGATGAATTCCATTAATGAATGGAATTCCAAGAATGAATTCCATTAATCCGGATGCCCCTGGACTACACCTCCGGCATTTTTGGAGCCGCCAGCTCAGCCTGCAGCTTCCCAGATTTTTCCAGCCTGGAGAAGGAGCAGCTTCGGCATCGAGGGGGTTTAACTGGCTGGGGAGGGAGGGTCGGAGCCTGGGCAGCGCTGCCCCTCCGAATTTACATTTAAATGAGGGTTTGGAACACCCCGAGCTGTCCTGGGGGATCATTGGGAGCGATTTGTTTGTTAATTGTCTCACTCGGGCTGTGATCCTAAGGAAAAGAGGGAATGTGCTCTCCAAGGAAAGAGGGAAAAGTGTCCTTTAACCCACCCTGAATGGGGTGAGGGTCCCACAGGGCCTGGATGGGGCTGGAACGTTTCAGCAGAAATTCAGCCGGAATTCAGCTCCAAATACCAAAGGTGACTCCGAGGGGACTCACCCCGGCACGCTCAGGTTAAATTATATTTATCATCATTATTCCTGTGGGCCACGCGATTCCAAATCCCTCCGATGGGCGAAGGAAGCCAGATTTTATAAATATCGCCTCAAACCACAACAGCTCTAGCGAAGCACTTTAAAACCAGTCCTAGGACCAAGTCAGGCTTTTCTTTCCCACTCACCCCATCCCCAGGGAGACCCAAGCCCTGAAACTCAACATCCAAATGCTGGGAGGAGCAGCAGCTCTCTCAGTCCATCTGAGATGCAAAATTAGAGTTTGAGCACAGCTGAAAGCACCAGCCCAGGTCAGGGGTGACCCCAGAGCAGCCCCAGGTACCCAAAACCTCCAGCGCAGCTCCAGGGGTGCCCCCACAGCACTCACGGCTCCTCACAGTCCCCCCAGAACTCCAGGCCAGCCTCAGGGATGGCCCCAGACCAACCCTGGTCCCTCAAAAGTGCCCCAGGAGCAGCCCCAGCCACCCCAAAACTCCCATCCAGCCCCAGGAGCAGCCACAGTCACCCCAAAATCTTTGTTCAGCCCCAGGAGCAGCCCCAGCCACCCCAAAACTCCCATTCAGCCCCAGGAGCAGCCCCAGCCACCCCAAAACTCCCATCCAGCCCCAGGAGCAGCCCCAGCCACCCCAAAACTCCCATCCAGCCCCAGGAGCAGCCCCAGCCACCCCAAAACTCCCATCGAGCCCCAGGAGCAGCCCCAGCCACCCCAAAACTCCCATCCAGCCCCAGGAGCAGCCACAGTCACCCCAAAATCTTTGTTCAGCCCCAGGGGCAGCCCCAGCCACCCCAAAACTCCCATTCAGCCCCAGGAGCAGCCCCAGCCACCCCAAAACTCCCATCCAGACCCAGGCGCAGCCACAGTCACCCCAAAACCCTCGTTCAGCCCCAGGAGCAGCCACAGTCACCCCAAAACCCTCGTGCAGCCCCAGGAGCAACCCAGCCACCCCAAAACTCCCATCCAGCTCCAGGAGCAGCCCCAGCCACCCCAAAACCCTCGTGCAGCCTCAGGAGCAGCCACAGTCACCCCAAAACCCTCGTTCAGCCCCAGGAGCAGCCACAGTCACCCCAAAACCCTCGTTCAGCCCCAGGAGCAGCCACAGTCACCCCAAAACCTTCGTGCAGCCTCAGGAGCAGCCACAGTCACCCCAAAACCCTCGTTCAGTATCAGGAGCAGCCACAGTCACCCCAAACCCCTCGTGCAGCCCCAGAAACAGCCACAGTCACCCCAAACCCCTCCCGGTGCTCTCGGCGCTGACCCCACAGCGTTCCCATCTCATGCACCCCGATCCGAAGCCCCCCGTGCTCAGCCCGGCCCGGGGGTCCAGCCGGGCAGGGGGAGGTGACAGGGAGGTGACAGGGAGGGGACACATCCAAAGGCTCGGCTTTGCCCTCGTGGTGAGCCAAACAATAAACCCAAAAAATATTTTTGCGTTTTGCCCTTCTGGGTTTGTTCCGCAAGGACTTGGCGGGGTCCCGAGGCCGCTAAAAGCTTTTTCTGCGCTGGGATTTGTCCCCATCCCTCTCCGCGGATCGCTGGCGGGTTTTTGGGGTTAAGAGATTGGTGTCGCCGGGTTAATGTCCCCATTAACGGGATGGAGCCGCGCCGGAGGCTGGGAACACTCCGCTAATGCAGGCTCGGCATTCCCACGGGAATCCCGGCTCCCCCCGGAGGACAACGAGACCTCAAAGGGCACAAAGTGAATTTGGGAGCCGGCGGAAAACCTGGCACGGCTCCGCAGCTTCCAGCGGGGCTCTCCCAGGAGAAGCAGAAATCCAGATTTAATGCTCCTCCAGGTTTTTAATAGGAAAAGATGATCCGGGGTGGATCTCTGAGCATCCCTCACGCTCCCAAATCTGCTTTGCCCGAAGCTCCGGGATGAGCTGCCAGCGGTTCCAGGCGGGGTTTGCCCTCCCTGCCCTGCGAGTTTGTGGGTTTTAAGTTGGGTAATTTTTTTGGGCACTCCCCTGATAAGGGAGGCTTTTTTGGAGTAGTTTTGTGTCAGGAATGAGAGATGTATTGGATTTTTTTTTGCTTTTTAGTTTTTGTTTATTGTTATTTTATCAAAACTTGAGCATAGAGTTTGCACTAGACTCTGTGTGTATAAAAACGGTATCAAAAGGGTTAATAATTTTTTGTTGTAAGGTTTTTTAAGTCTAATAAAAAACTATGCTACTTAATTAAGAAGTGATACTTAATTTTTTTCTAACTTAATAACTGACTTCTAAAGACTCATAATGTGGCTTTTCTATTTAATTACAAGATATTACTTAAACCTAAGAAGAAAGAGGAAGAAGAAAGGAACTGAAGACAACATCTTATATCTTCTATTTTGAACTCATCTATAACATACTAAAAACCTTTAATTTCTCACCCGTGTGACCTGCTACGCTACAATCTCTACAATCTATTTCACACTTTCGTGGTTTCTGGCTCACTTTGAGGCTTTGGGAGTTTTCTCCATGAATGAGGGTTAAAGTCAGAGCTCCCCTGGGGGTCAGGACACCCCCGAGCAGGCAGAGAAACATTCCCGGTGCCCTGGGTTTCCACAGTGCCCCACTTGGAGCCGTCACTTCCCATCAGGATGAGCTGGGCTGGCTCCGGGAGATCCGGGAGGGGATGGCGGGGATGGAAATCAGCCTGGCAGGAGCGGCACAGGTGAGGAGTGGGGTGGGGTGGGCTGGAAAACGCGCGGGGGCCGGGGGGGAACGCGGTGGGAACAGAGAGGGAGGCAGGGAAGGGCCCGATCCCAAAGCGCGCCCGGGATCGGAGCTGCGGCCCCGTTCGGGATTGAGTCTGACATGGATGCGGGAGGAGAGCTCAGATTTGGGGAAGGGGAGATCGGGGGCTTCGGAATCCATCCCAAGGGCTGGAGGGGATCGGAGGGATCTCAGGGATCTCATATCCCCCAGAGAAAAGAGATCTCAGGGATCAGAGGGATCCCAGGCATCAAGGGCGATTTCAGACATCCCATGGACCTCATATCCCCCAAAGAAAAGGGATCTCAGGGATCTCAGGGGTCAAGAAGGATTTCAGGGATCCCAAGGATCTCAAGGATCCGATATCCCCCAAGGAAAAGGGATCTCGGG